ATTCCCTGAATGCAGCCAAGAGCCAGCCTTGAAAGCAGGCCTTTCTTGGGTAGCACCTTTAATCCTGCTATGCTAAATCTTTTCTGCACAGTGGCTAAATGCAGTTTTCTAATCACACAAACCTGGGTTCATATGTATACTTTACCACTTATTATTGATACAACATTCAAGAAGTTATTGAAACATTTTTCATGTGAGTTTATCAACTGTTGAAAATTTTTAATTAGACAGTTACAGGACTGCAATTTAAATTATAATAAACAATGAACATATGATTCTAGGTAAAATGTGTAGTGTAATAATAAAAAAATGTTGATAACCATTAACATTTTATGGCATCTACCTACAAAGAGCTTAGAATAGAATGCACAAATAAGACCTATTGAATAAATAGAACATATTATTTTAAAATTACTGACAGTAAATGCAGCAAGAGTTGAAAGACTGGGCAGATATTCCATGAACCTTCTAAGAACCCACAAAAGCTTCCTCACCAGAATAAGCATTCCTTTGTTAAGGGCTGAAGAGTTCCAACCATAAAAAATTATCTCTGAAGGTGCCATCTTTTACAGTTTCACGAACATGGCTATTCTTGACACTAAAATCCTGAGAAATACTGGAATTATAGATGAGAACAATCAGTAGCCACATCAGTCTGGCTTAGATATAGTGTGACATTTTGTGAATGTTTATAAAAATAAGAAATTTTTGATGTCCTTTTTGATCAAGTAGATTGATCAAACTTTGAAAAGCACTACCTTTGCTCTATGTAGATAGGGGCTCGGGTACCACTCTTTAGGTAAGGTTTTCATTATTAACATAACTCATGATCGCAATTACTTGAAAAATATGCTGAGTCAAAACTTCCAAAATAATTAAATGAACAAATAACGCAGACTATAATTCATGCCCAAGACTCATGAAAAAGAGACAACTGTGCTTAACAAAAATCATATTTTATGGGAATGTATTATTTTCTTTTGTTTTTCATCTTTTTCATTAATATATAAAACTTGTTGGCTGGGTAATCTACCTGGCTGTATACTCCCATGTCTGTAATCCCAGCTATTTGGAAGGCTGAGGTGGGAGGGTCATGAGTTCATGGCCTCTTTGGGCAGCTAATGACCTAATCTCAAAAATGAGCAAAAAAAAAAAAACCTTTCTCCCCAGAAAACCACCAGGCTGCTAATGGGATGAAGTGTTGAATGGTGGTATGTTTTACATTTAATGTTAAATATCTTCTCTAGCTAATATTAAGTATTTGGACATTCTTTGAAAGAAAGTTATCATTTATTATATGTCATAATTTAAAGTTTTATTTACAAGTATTACAAAACAAATATTTTGTGATATAATATTATAAATATTTAACATAACAGGGAACAAACTGTTTATTCCTAAATAGATCTCTTATGCATTGTTTTGCTAAGAAAATATTATAGATGGTTTATGTAAGTAAATACATCCTTACAGGTCATCATTTAGCTATATAATTTAAAGTAAAAATGCTTGTTCTAATTAGAAGTTCTGTTGCAGCCAGTACCCCTGTAAAGTTTATAGAAACCACCTTCTCAAACAAAAAGAAAAAACCCTTCATTACTAAATTTTTAGTAGCTACCCCTAATTAATCACAATAATGAAGAAAGAAAACAATGTAGTTATGCCAAAGTATAGATATAATTCTTTACCATTTATAGCAAACTATGATTCAGTCTAGATTCAAATTTTAAAATGTGTGCAATTTAGGCAAACACATTAATAGAATATAGTAATTAATTAGCTCATTCATTTGTTAGTCACCATATATAAAATTACATAAAATACATATATAAAGTACACATAAAATTCATAGTATAGCTAATAATGAGAGAAGATCATAGGCCAAGTTATTGATAAATACCTCAATCCATTTTGAATCTAATATGACATCATCATAATTTTTAAAATCACATTCATTATCTCCTCCTCTAGTCTGTAATGCATTAAGAATTATAGTTGCATTTTATTCATTGTTTTGTGTTTGGGATTAGTCCCTGGTTTTGTAATAAGACCTTAAGAAAAATTGAATTGAATAAATTTCAGTTAAATTGAATTAAATTGGTTAAATAATTTAGAGAAAAGGAACAGGGATGGAATACTATGAAACGTCCACACCTAAATTTAATAATTAATCAAAGCCAATTTGTTCTTAACTCTTCCTTTCTCATAAGAGCTATTTGAATTTTACTGTATGTTTTTAATGAAGATGATCACTTCCCTATGAATATATATATATAATTTTTCCATCATCTTTTAAGGGAGTTAACTCTATTGGGGACAGAACTCTATTTTTTCACTTATCTTGTACGTTTTTCCTGAAACAACCCCCCAAGCCCTGCTGCTTTTGTAGTAATTTCTTTATTATGTTTTATTTTGTCTCCTAGTATAGAAACAAAATTTTGTATTATTTTAAATTATCTCTTTCTAGAATTGTGTTAACAAAAAGTTAAATATTGCATGGTTTTTCTTATATGAAAATCCTAAAATACAAATAAATAAATAAAATAAAGAATAGGTAGTAGGAACCAAGAAGGCAGACTCTTGAAGGGGGTTAGGTGGGAAAAGATAAAGAGATTGAAATAATCAAAATATATTATAAGCATTTACCATTTCAGCAACTCTAACACCATGTATTGTATTGTATTGAAAACATACACCAATTTTTTAAAAAAGAAAAACAGGATTTATATTACTAATGTGTTTTTTTTTGTAAATATTGAATATTATTAGGCAATGTTGTTTAATTTCAAAATTACATTTAAACAATAAAAATTAAAAGTATTGTCTTGGTTACTTTTCTCATTGCTGAGACAAAATAACTGACACCGACAAGTTAAAAGAGGAAAGGTTATTTCACTTTGCAGTTTGTAGAGGTTTCAGTCCATAGTCAGCTGGCTCCAAGGCAGGGTGGCATGGCAGACAGTTATCACAGAGGAGAAAGAGTTCATGGCATAGCAGGCAGAAGCCAACAGCAGCAAGCAGGAGCAAGCCTGCCTTCTTTCTGTCCCTTTATATTCCATCCATACAGACTTATTGATTGGCGCCACACATACCCAAGATGGGCATCCTTAATCCAGCATTACAGCCTTAATCTGAGTATCACAACCTTAATCCACATTCACACACCCTAACAGCCACTTTCAACCCTACCTATGACATCAGGCTTTAGGAATACATCTAGATACAAGCCATAGCAAGTATATTCTCATGGAATCATATGGATATGTCAGTAAATGAATCTTAAAATGTTCAAAATAATATCCACACAGAGATTCCTTAATATAACTGCACTTAGTAGATTTTAAGGTATAGTGTTGGCCTAAAAATAAGTTTTTTCATAGGCTAGTTAGACTTCTTCACTATTGTAATATTTTGTTCCTATATATGTCCCTAGCTTCAGTTGAAATATAATTTTAACTTAAAAGGAAATGTCAAAGCTAGCCATTTATATGCTGACAGGTTCCATAAAATCATGTAGACTTTCACTGAATCTAAGATGATCTCAAATATTAAGTTGCACTGTTATTTTATGATTCATCAGGACAAAAAAAGTATTTATTAAAGATACAATTTCTTAATATTTAGAATTTTATTTTATAAATACTAAAAGTTTTTGTAGACTTAAATGTAAAATTTAATGATTTTTAATTCTTGTTGAATATTTTGCACTGCACACACACATATGGAAATATGCATTAAATAAGTTGGAAAACACATTCCTAAAACTTCTTCCCATTCATTATCTGACTCAATTCCCACTGAATAAGATCGTTCTCTTTGCTAGTGAGGCAACATACTGTAACAGAGCAGCCATTTTCTCTGGCTGTTTCATTTAACCTTCTGTATTCGTTCTGTAAGTTTTAATGCTCATCTTATCAAAATTTATCAGCAGATCTGGAGCCCAAATCAAGATTAATTTTTGTATTCCTTTTTCAAATGCTCCTTAAAGTGATTGACTGAAGTGTGGGGAATTAAGTATGGTTGACACAAGTCACAGGAAATAAATTCAGACATGTTTAAGCCATGGTAACTACGTTATCACCTATCACTCCCACTTAAACATATTGGAAGAAGCCACCAAGTGTAAAACGTCCCAGGGTAAAACATTTTAGCTATTTGGCAATGGCTAAAATAATATCATGTGAAAACAATTGTGGTCTTAAAAATGAGTGAAACAATGTATTAAAAAACAGAGATGAAGATAATAAAAAATAATTTGAACACTGGTTAATGGCATGTGTGTATATACACATACACGTTATTCTAGAAAATAAAATTTTATGCAGTTGTAATAGGTAGTTGGAGAAAGCTCTAGTTTTTGTTACATAAATTTTATTGGCATTTTAGGATATTTAAAACTTTTTAGCTATGCTCTATTAAATATTTTCCACTAGAATTCAAATGGTTAGTCATAAGGGTCTCACTATATAATTTATTATTTTATGTGCGTTCTTATACAGTACTTGTATACTTTTAAAAATAGAAATGTATGCCCGGGATTTAGCTCAGTGGTTCTGCTTTGCAAGCACAGGGACTTGAGTTCGATCCCTGGTACCAAAACAAACAAACAAACAAAACAAACAAAATAAAAATAGAAATGTAAAATTTATGTATCATACATATGTACTAATAAAGTAGAATTTTCAAAAACAGCCCGACAACTGGAAGTAGTGGCACATGCCTTAAATCTCAGATACTTCGGAAGCTGAGGTAGGAGGACTGCCTATGCCCAGAAATTCAAGGCCAGCATATACAACATAGTGAGAGCTCATCCTTAAAAGATAAATAACCCATCAAACTGATTACCTGTGAAGTATTGAAAAAAGTCCTCATCATTCATCTAAACTGGTATTTCCCTTAATAATTAAAATACACTTTATCAGTGTTCAATATTAATAAATATTAAGGATGAATAAGTGAACCCATCAACTGAATATTTGTCTCTCCCCTGTCTACTTTAGGTCCCATCAGTAGTATTTTGGTGAATAAATATGGCAGCCGGCCAGTGGTAATAGTCGGAGGCTTGCTGTGCTGTTTGGGTATGATTTTAGCCTCTTTCAGCAACAGCGTAGTGCAGCTTTACATCACTGTGGGCTTCATTGGAGGTAAGCCAAGTTTTGTTTATAGTTTATTTTTCTAACACTTCTATTTTTTGCAAAACTCTATGAAAAGGATGAACAAAAAATTATTATTCTCTTTGAATTTACTTTTAAGAGTGGTACTGTTGTAAAGTATTATTACCCGGTTCATTTAAATGCCAGCTATGGAATGACCAAGAATTTTACTTCAAGAAATGAAAGATCTTACCAAGTTATGTATTGTTATGTAAATATTAAAAAGAAAACATTTTATTCATTTTTACTTTCCTTAGCCAGTGGAGATGGCACTGTAAACAGACTTTCTGGTATAAATAAATAACTCCCTTTTTAAAAGTCTATTTTTTGTACTTTATTCCTTTTTAGGATATTTGCAATTTCCCTAGTACAATGTTACAAACAGTGTCAAGGGGTTATATTCTCGATTTACCTTGAGTGATAAAACCGTTGCTGCCTGTGTTCTGATGGATGGTAGAGGACTGCAGCCCTTTTCCTTATTCAGTGATTTTATTTAAAAGCTCAGTGAAGCACTTTGCAATTAGCACAAATATTTAAAATGACATCCTGCTAGTTCATTATCATTTTGTCTCATATAGGATATCTACTGACTCACATTCACCTGAATTGGTACAATTGGAAAATGATTTTTTGTCCAAACAATAAATTTCATTTAAAAAAATCTACATTCAAAATTTTATGAAAAATTAGTGTAATCAAACATTTATTTCCCTTATGTTCACAGATTAAAAAGTAGATAAATTTCTTTGGTATAATAATCTGAGAACAGTCTAGCTTTACATTCATGTACTATTTGATGAGAAAAACAAGTATATTAAAGGATATAACAATAGTGATGTTAAAATCTTTCTCTATACAACATATCCACATTTCTCTGACTTTTTAATATGTAATTTTTTGAATATGTTCAGTGGAAACTTTATTATATCTAAGCATTGTCATAGTGAGAGAATGTCCTTCCTTTGTGCAGACATATCGACTCTATTGCATTTGCTAATCAAAGTCAGGATGGGTTTACAAATAGAGAAAGCAAATAGAAGATGATTTGTGATATTCCTGCACCAGCAATTACAATAGTCTTACTATTATTCTGTCTTAAAATTTCATTCTCTTGGGTCTTGACGTCTTTCATGCTTCTAGAGTCAGCTGCTATACATGACTACAAGGAATTTACCTGAAGTGATCATCAGCCAACTTGGTTTCTGACTTTGGTTTCTGAAAGACATGTACAGCTTTTAAACCTGATTCAGCGTACACTGTCTGTGATCAGGGATAAATTAGTCTTCATGTGCTTTAGTCTCCTTGTCTATAGTTACTTTCTTAGGGAGTTGCTAAATGGTTAATATATAAAATGAGTATATAGTACTTTACACAGTACTCAGCCTTTTTATTTACAGGTAAATATTAGAAAATAAAAATCATAGTGTCATTTTTATAACATCAGTTGTAGAACTTACTTGATTTTTCTAAGATGCTTTTTTATGTTGCTGAGTGAACTGGACCTCAGAATTAAGTGTTTTGCCCAGGCCTACAGAGTAGGCAAGTAGCTAGGAAAGATTCAAATCTATTTCAAGTTTTATGTTCATTTTACCAAGCTAGAATGAGAAATAGATGTCGGCTATGTCCTAACGAAAACAAGTTATCATCTGAAGGCAGAAGCTTCAGAATTAGCAGGGAGTTTGGGGAGCTGACATAGCTTAAGAAATTTTGAAAAACATGACTTGGATTTTAGTGTCAATTCTTTTGCTCATAAGCTGCGTGGCCTGAGGCTGGTCAGTTTCATTATTTATAAGTTATGTCCGATTATACTTATTCTGCATTTCTCATAGGTTTGACAAGGTAGCATTAGAAATCATGCTACCCTGTTAAGCTCCAAAGCTTGTTCTAGTTCCTTTTTCAGCTTTTAAACACCCTTCTACTAATTAAAAATGTTTATATTACAAGATTGGATTAAATATTTGTAGTTAGATGTATATGTCCTAGAACTTGAATACTTAACCATTTTGCAGTACTGTTTCAATTTAGGTTTCAAATTATATAGTACTTTACACAGTACTATGATTCTTACCTCTCTAGTGCTGATCTAACTTAGAATAATTCCTAAAGGCAGAAAAAAAGAAATCGTTTTATCTTTTCAAAAGTACTTTAGTCATTACTATTGCTAAACAGTTATTGGTGAATGACAAAAAGTAATTCATGTCTCAAAGACAGTACTCAACCCTGCTGAGGAGTTTGGCTCATGCAAATAATCAGCTTTAATCCCAGAATTAAAAATATATTATACAGAAAATAATTTTTAAAATTTAGTACGTATGTGCATCTACATACATTAAATGTGGTGTATGAGTGATATAAAAGCATGAAAAACAATGGCATAAAATTATTACTTTTATTATTTGCATGGCATTTAAAAAATATCTGTGAAGAGATGTAAGAATATTACAAATTACTCTATTCATGTTTCTTTAACTCTGAAAAGAAATTTCTCATTTTTAAATTTTACTCTTATTTACAAGGAAGGAATCTGTATTCACACATAAATATAGATAAGAGATTATTTATGGACTTAAATTATTTTAATTAAGAATTAACTGTTTTGTCATTTCAACTTATCCTGAGGTTTTTTTCAGACATCAGTAGAAGTGCATGGCTTTATTTTTTATTTTTTTACTTTAAAGGAATATGAAATAACCATATGAAGTGTACAGTTATGAAAAACACTTTAGCTTCTTACAATTACATTTATATTTGTAATTCTCAAACATTACTCCCTACTACTGCATTTTTTTACTTCTGCCTTGTCTACTTGAATGTACATTTTGAAGAGTAATTTCTATTGTAAATGACATAATATGTTCATGTTTTCTTTCCCCCCTTTTTCTTGTTCTTTTTAGGTTTAGGTTTAGCCTTCAACCTGCAACCAGCCTTAACAATAATTGGCAAATACTTCTACAGGAAACGACCCATGGCAAATGGATTGGCCATGGCAGGAAGTCCTGTGTTCTTAAGTACATTGGCGCCTTTCAATCAGTTTCTTTTTAATACTTATGGCTGGAAGGGAAGCTTTTTGATTTTAGGAGCTATATTTTTGAATGCCTGTGTGGCTGGGGCCCTCATGAGGCCCCTTGGACCCAAACAAACTACTTCTCACTCTAAAAATAAGATTGCCATAAGAGAGGGAGTTTCGGGTTCAAAGAAAATCCAGAAGAAATCAATAGCACAAAAAATTAATCAGTATTTAGATTTCTCCCTTTTTAAGCATAGAGGATTTCTGATCTACCTCTCTGGGAATGTCATTATGTTTCTAGGATTTTTTGCCCCTGTTATATTCTTGGCTCCGTATGCTAAAGACCAGGGAATAGACGAGTATTCTGCAGCTTTCTTGCTGTCTGTAATGGCTTTTGTTGATATGTTTGCTAGGCCAAGTGTAGGGATAATTGCAAACTCCAAACTTATCAGACCACGAATCCAGTATTTCTTCAGCTCTGCAATCCTGTTCACTGGAATGTGCCATCTTTTATGCCCTCTGGCCAAGGATTACACAAGCCTGGTGATATATGCTGCATTTTTTGGCTTTGGGTTTGGCAGTGTTAGCAGTGTCCTGTTTGAAACTCTCATGGACCTCGTGGGTGCTCAAAGGTTCTCCAGTGCTGTGGGCCTTGTCACAGTTGTGGAGTGTGGCCCGGTTCTTCTTGGCCCTCCTCTTGCCGGTAAGAATATTTCTCATAAAAAAAAGCAAAGAACATAATATAAATAACCATTAACTGAGACTTTCTTTACAGTAAATAATGTGGTTTTATTCTAATTGCCTGAGAGACAGGGGAGAGATAATAATTTAAGTCTTACTGTGTATATTAAAGTTTCGTGATTGTTCACTTTTAAACCTAAATGTGTTTCAGAGCCAGACCTATTAATTTAAAACCTTAGGTTGTTAATGAGAACATAAGTTTTAGGATTTTTAATCATATTAGTCGTTATGTGCTTTTAAGAATGTTACCGCAAAAATAAAACGCAACTTTTATCATGGCTGAACAGGCTTCTGTTCTGCTAATATAAAAATGCATCAAATGTAAAATAATGACCTCAAAAGCTCATAATCAGGTTTTTTTTCTATAATACATTAGTCATACTAATTTTGAACTTATTATTCATGTAAGGGAGGCACATTTCTATATCACTGATACGGAATGCAAGGATGAAGGAAAATTGACTTACAGTTGCTGTTTTTCTGTTTTGTTTTGTTTTCGTTTTTTTTCATTGAGTTTATTGTTACTTTTTAAGTATACAGTAGTCACATTCATCACTGGGACCTGACCTTATACCTTTACATGACAGGTCTTGGTTCTCATTTTTTCCTGCCTTCTCTTCACCCACTCCACCCTCCCCTATTTACAAAGACTTTGTTTCCATTTTTCCCTTTTCTTTTTTCCTTTCCCTTATTACTTTTCCCCTACCCTTCCCACTTTCCCTACACCTTTATCCCTTTTCTTCCTATTTCACATTATCAGTTATACAATTTGGATCTTATTTACATTTTTAGTTTTTCACGCCAGAGAAACTATTTGGTATTTACACATGTATGTCTTATTTAATTTAGGAGTATGGCCTCAATATGCATCCATTTTCCTATGAATGACTCTAGTTTCTCATTCTTTGTGGCTGAGTAGTACTTCATTTTATAGAAAAACCACATCTTCCTTATCCAGTCTCCGACTGATGGGCAAATGGGCTGTTTCCAAGTTTTAGCTATTACAAACTGTGCCACTATAAACATAGGTGTGCATATGTCACTGTGATATGATTCTTTTAATTCTTTTGGAAAGATACCCAGCAGAGGGATGGCTGGGTCAAATGGAACCTCTAATTCTAATTCACAGTTGCTTTTTGTTGAGCAGATAACTTATGTTCCATAAAGATTACCTTAAAATTTACCTTTAGATTTTAAGATCTGAAATATTTCCAAAGATATCTATCGAAGTTTCTGTGTTAAATTAACCAGTAAGGAAACTAAGAACATGTTTAAGGTACCATCAAAAAAAAAAAAAAAAAAGTGAGAAACTGATCTGAGTTTTGAATAAGGAAAGAAAGAAAATTTACCATAGAACCACTGTATTTTTTGTGGACTTAGTATTATTTTATGGCTTTTCTTTGGAAATATTGTTATGAGTACTTCAAAAGAAAATAATAATTAGATTGAGATCTATTATCTGTATTTATGATTTAAACACACACATGTAAGTCTGTTTTTGATGTTGAGGCTTTGTTTAGTCATAAGTTTTAATGATATACATACCAAATTTTTTGTGGATCTATCTTTTCCAGTAACCATTGTATTATTTGATACTTCACTGAACTTTATTCACATAGATTCTTGCCTTGCCCTGCCTTCTACCACACAGAGCTAAAGCTAAATACAAAGTTTTTATGCATTTATTCAGCTGTCAATATACTTTCTACAGGATAATGAGAAGCCATTTTGAAAATGGTATACTTTAGGCTTTATTTGTTAATCCTAATGCTGTCTTTGACCTCTTTTCACTCACTTTTCCACTTGGTAAAGAATGCATGAAAGGGCCTGGGAATTTAGCTCAGTGAGGCCATGTCTGCCTTGCAAGTGCAAAGTCCTGAGTTCAGTCTCTGATACCCAACAAAAAAACATTTTTTTAAAAATGCTGTTTGTAAGACCTTAGTGAGGTAGTTGTTGGCTTGTAGATAGTATGTCTCTCAATACAGATATGTAGTGTAACAAATCAATTGTTAAAATATAGTGAAAGCCATTAGTTTTTTTTAAAATTGCTCAATTGCTCAATTGTTGTATAGGAGAAGCTCAATTGTCCTATCTTTTCATCTAGAACTAATATGATCAAATGAGTTTCAGAGACTTTATTAACAACAAAACCGTAACTATCAACAGAGAAAAAAAATATAATAACCATGCATGGTGAGAAGAAAAAAGTATCATGTCAAGTCATTACATGGTTCTAAAGATTAATCTGATTTGTCTACTCCTACTTGTACTGAGATCCTGCATCAGTAATAAATTTTTTAAAATAACTTCAGTAAGTGCCCATTGTTTTAACACTGCCAGACTACCATGCCCCTGGTGCCAGTGGTGGTAATCGATTGAGGACTGATGGTTGAAATCGAGGGTAGCCTTAAGATACATTTTCTTCATGTTCCTTCTATCACCTGCTTACCTCCATTATTCATTGACTTTTAGTCAGACTTCTTCTCTTTGGCTTCTTCTCTTTTTGTTTGATCATTGCTGAAATTGTATCTAGTACACAGTAGGTACTCAGTAAATACTTTATATTGCTGTGATCACTTCTTACATTCTTGACATTTTTTATACTAATCCCATTAGTATGGCAGTGAAAGGTAAAGAGAGTGTAGTTTTTATTTATTTTTAGACTGATCTTTCACTGATGCATTCATAAAAACAAGCTTTATTTCTAGAAAGCTTATCTGATATGCTGGTGCTAAAAAATTCCCAGAACATTTAGAAAATATGCTGAGAGTTCAGCCCAAAGTAATACTTAACTGAGAGGGTCATGGATGTTAGGTTTTTGTATTTTTAAATGTAACAACAAACCATTGTATGAATGTGAATATTTGACTAAAGTTTTGAAGGAAAATAAAAAAATATGCATTTTTTTTATGTTTCTGTGTATGATCTGCTTACTCAAGGTCATTCTATCATTTACCCAGGAAAGAATTTTATTCAAATAGATAAATACTGCACATAGCTGTGGAATAGGTTCCAGTTGGAATGCTCACTAAACAGACAGGTCTACAGCAAAGGTCTCCTTCAGAATCTCTTGGAATGTATATGAGAAGTAACATAGATTTATATATAGTAAATTCTGCTCTTTCTAATCATTAAGAATTGAATACTTAGATTAACATGAAACAAAATTGAATATAAGACGAAAAAAAGCACCAGGCTAGTTTTCAAATGGTCTCACTGCTAAAGCGGTCAGTTTGGCCTGATACCGTCGACTCAGAAAAAGTCTTTTAAAAAGTTAGCCCTAAAAGTGACACAGCACTTAACCAAGAGGTTGGGTGAAGCCATTTTATAGACTAGCTAAGAAGATGGAACTCAGAGGCCACGTTCTGCCATGCACTGGCTGTGTAACCACAGATTACTTCACAGTGATTGTGAGGAAGAAAGGAGTTATTACATATAAAGTGCTCAACCTAATGCTGAACAGAGCAACACTTAGTCCTTTAAGGAATCATGTAAGAGCCACTGGTTTGCTGAAGAATGTAATTTTTTCACTTTATTGAAGAGAAAAAGAAGCATAGGAAGATGCAGTAATCTCAGTGAGTATGCTGTAAATAGATGCATATATTTCATTGTACCTGGTGCCAAAACATACCTCACACTTATGTGTATTTCTGAACCCACAAGCACATACATAATTTGTCTTGGTTGTACATTTTTATTGGGGGAAATAATATTCAGTAACTTTACTGTACTGGAAATATATTGTTGTAAATGCCTCTGCATGTCTTTACTAAAGAAGTCCTAATCTAGAATATTTTTTGTTTTAAAGTCTAATGTGATATTAATTTAAGTAAGATGCATGCAATTTGTCTGGGGAAGAGTTCCTTTGAAAGTTTTATGAGTGTTTTATTAAGTCATCCTAAAAGATGTCTTTGTCTCTTAGGTAAATTGGTGGATGTAACTGGAAAATATGAATACATGTATATGTCCTGTGGGGCTATTGTGGTAGTGGCAAGCATATGGCTGCTTATTGGCAATGCTATAAACTATAGACTGCTCGCAAAGGAAAGGAAGAAGGAAGAAGAAGCAAGGAAAAAAGATGCACAGTCACACGAAGCCAGAGAATCTGAACCCTTGAGCACATGCAAAGATGATGAAGTTACTGTCAAAGCTCCAAAAGCACAGAATACTCCTTCAGAAAGAGAAACTAACATTTAAGAAGAATCACATCTCTGAATTGGGTTTATGAATTTACTTAGGAGTTTGTGCTTTTTAAAATATTGGGAAAGTTTTCGCTGATGCCAGCAGTTACAACTAAAGAGGGAAAAGAGATTTTCCTAAATAGCAAATTATAAATTAGTTTTTGAAAACTTATATGAGTAGTTAAATTTTGAGATTATGCACACTTGTAATCCATGCAATTGGTGTATTTCCATACATGACTCAGGATTTCGTCGTTAAAATACAAATTTCAGCTTCTTCCAGTGACTTCTGTTCTTAGTTATAGAAAGAGATTTGAATCTCATACCCCTGGTTTAATTAATTAGAAGGAATATTTTTTAATCCCATTCAGTGATCTTCACATTTCCTTTATATTTGATATTAAAGCATGAAATGAGGTGATCTTAATTCCAAAATGCAAATGGCTGCTATAAAAAGTATTTGATATATAAAATGACTTTGATAAAAAAGATTACATTTCACACCATTACTTCTGGACACTTAGGCTAGATTAATCCAGACATATGATTTCTTTGAGGGGTTGCCATTAGTATCTAGTTCTAAAAAATGGAACCCTCGAATGATTTTTCAGAATTCTTACCTAACAGTAAATTGGATTAAAAATATGAATGGCACCTTGCAATTAACTATGTCCACTGATTTTTTAAAAGGTATTTTAGTTCTTAATTAAAAAAGTAATAACCAGAGATTTCTTCTAACTAGATCTCAGTTAATATCCACTGTTGAACTGAATATCAAAGAATGATCCGGAATCCTACCTGACAGAGATAGAGAAAATTCCAATTTTCTCCAACACATAGCTCTTATTTGAGGTCACTGTTCTGAATAATCCATATCAGTCCAGCTGCCTGAGAGTGGGAGTCCTTTTAGTTTTCTCAGCTCCTCCCTTTGCATGAAAAGCAAAAGCAAAAACAAACCAAAAACAGGCCTTTTACTCAGCCACTGAAAATGTTATAGGAATAGTAGCACTGGGAAAGTCTGCCCTCTACTGGCTAGGCTGCCTGCTGTCTATGGCTATTCCAGGAAACTACAGTAGTCTACTAAAAATAAGGGTTGTGTCACATGGAATTGTAGGTAAAGCTTAAAACAGAGAGCAAGTAACTTAAAATACTGCAATCCAGGTTAATTAAGAAGTTTCTCTTTTTTAACTATGAAAAACACTTAGGCCTCTGAATCCATCTCTAATACAGACACATTTGATAGTTTTGTGTTTTCAAAACTATAAATATAGCTAAACTCATAAATAAACTCACCTATAAACCTAAAGTTTAATGTAATGACTGACAGAAATAGTGCTTTATTATTGAAATGATGCAATCCTTGAGATCCAAGGGAATTTGCCGTTAATATTTTTATTGCAGTAGAAGCAGGTGCTATTCTTCTTATGAGACTGTACCTAGACACGAATTCTTTGTAATAGTTAACATTATGAACTTGATTCGTGAAATTTATGCATTATTTAAGCATGTGGCTCGTATTTAGGGAGCGATATAAAATTTCATTTTTTTCACTTAACGTTTGCTTTTCTGCCTATAAAGGGATATTTGTATATTTTAAATATTAAATAAAACAAGATGTGCCAATATCATAGGTAAATAAATCAGGAAAAAATGTGACAATATATGGCTGTTTTTAATTTAGCTGTACTCAGTCTTGGTTTGTGATTTAGTTGGTTTTATATTAGTGCTTTTGTATTCAATGCTGATTTGTCATAAGAAGTACAACATCACGTGTAGTACATCTCCAATCCAAAACATTTCCAAAAAGTGTCTTGCATTCTCTAAAAATACATCTTTAACCTAATATAGATATTAGACCCTTAGGGAAATAAGCAACGAAGTAATGATCATAGGGTTTTAGATGTAAAACTCTCCTTTTTATGTCCTTGGGTGCAGTCCAACGCCTTCTCCATGGTAGGAGGATTATATACTTATTGAGCATCAAGTCAAAAACAATTTACATTTGCTTTACTGCTCTTTGGTTGCCTTCATTAACTCTTAATTTGTAATGCTGACTACATTAATTTGTTAGAAAAGAAAGAGAGGTAAAGTTGCAGATTCGAAACACATGCATAATGTGACAGTCACACCTGTCGGTGGCACAGCGCCAACTTACAAATATGTTCATATGTTATTTTCCATACATAGTTGCTGAAAACTAAACAACACACTTGATACAGTGACAGTGACATAATGACCTATTGGATTCACAATTGTTCCAAGATAATATAGATTATTCTACTTACTTGCTCTCCCTACTCCCTTGAATTTTTTTTGAAGAACTGTTGCTTTATTTTTAAATTTTTATTTATTTATTTTTTTGGTACCAGGGATTGAACTTGGGACCTTGCGCTTTCAAGGCAGGTGGCAGAACCACTGAGCTAAATTCCTGGTCCCTGAAAGAATTGCTTTAACAGAATGTTTTCAAAAGAATATTGGCCTAGAATTTGCACAATGGTATAGTCACATAAAGGAGGAGGAAATGAGGGCTGGTTTCTGTGTCTGCAGCAATTAGTTCTCAGCATACTTCTTTCCCCAAAGAATAACAGATTTTTATATGTTTAAGATCAGAAACAAAGTCAGTCCCTACCAAGCCCTATGTACCATCAGGGATTACTGTAGGAATGTTATGTAAAGCAGAGTGCTGAAATAATTCATGATCATGGTCTAATTTAAATGTGTTGCTATTTGTGTTAACTGAGCATCCTTCCTATCATTTTCACTATTTAACATAGATATCCCTTCATAATTTATTATTAGAACTTTAGAGTGGATATGTATTGATGTGTTTGCACTCTCATTTAATCTTTTTTGGTTTCAATTAGCCCAACACAAACTAGCGCATAACTCATGAATTTTACTTTTTCTGTACCAAGTTCCAGCCATCTTAACTCATGTGCTCATGGGCTTTGCCTGAATACTAGAGAATAAATACAACAACTAGATTTGATATGTTCCAATGTGCACTTTAAATTATCTAGGTATTTTATATTCGCCCTTCTCTGTCTGTTCAACGTGACAATCAGTAATAGAGAAAAAAGACCAAAAATATATAATACAATATTTTATATAGATACTATAAATACAGAGATAATCTTAATCAATTATTTGAAACTTATTTTTATCAGAAATACCTTTTAAAAATCCTATCAGAGGTAGACTATCTCAGATTAATATTGTAAATTAGAAATTATAACTATTACATTAAATTTAATTGAGAGAAAGAATACAGTGCAAGGAGGGAACTAATGTGTGGTGAATATTACCTACACAATGCCTTTTAATAGTCAAATGAAAGCTATGCCAGAAGTTAACAATATAGTGAGTGAAAACAAACAAACATAAAAAGATGAAGAAGCTCCCAAAATTTCCCAAAGTTAAAAATTAACGTGTGACCGAACCAAAATTTACATTGAGCATATGTAAAAGCAGAAAGAACTCCTAACATGTTCATACTGTTTCCCTATATATGCTCTAATGGAAAAGGGAGATAAAATATATGTACAAAAATTTAAATCTGTGAAAAAATTAGACTTAACTGCAATTTCAATTATGATTTATTTAGTGATTATTAGAGATTATATCTGATATAGTCTGAATATAATTTTCAAATTGCCTGCCTTCCTTATCAGTGTAAGAGATTCTAAATAGTCAGTAAGATATAACAGTAATATTGTTCTAATGTAACTTTTTTCTCATAAAAATGGCATATTTGTATGACTCAGGCATAATTTTCCTTGAAGTTGCATTTAGAAGAAAAATATTATTTGTTATAGATAAATAATTTCTGTACTGGCTACCAATTCAGAAAACATAAAAACTACTTACTATAAAACATTTTATTTAGAATTTTAGTGATTTTCTCCATTTGTAGAATTACTCCAAGATATAAGAGAAAAAAAGTTATGAGATTCAGATTTTCTGGTTCATCTATACAATGCTAATTTATTTTTTTAAATGCCATAGATACCCAATTTTCCAAGTTTCTCTGGAAAACTATATTGCTTTTTTTCTCTCTCTACTTATTCTATAGAGAAAAATACTGCAACTACTTTTGTCTTCTCCCTCTGGACCTTTGAAGTCCGTAAAACATATTTCTCCCTCAACTCTGTTCAGATGCACTGCTTTCTTCATGAAGTCACCCATGATGTATTAGTCTGATTTATTTGTGATTCACAAGAATGACAGTCCCATAGCCAGCTGAGTATTCTATTGGCCATAACCACTTAGCTCCACAAATGAGGAAACTATAAATTTACAATTTCCTGGACAGGGCAGGTGTTTAACCGTCTAGGAAATATTTTGTTAATACTAGTTTTCCTTATGCAAGATAAATATATAATTAAATGCTATTTTAAAGAATCTGAAAAAAACAGTCTTTCTGTTACTGACACTTACTAATTAAATGTTTCTAATTCTCTTAAAGTGCCTGACAACTTTGAGAAACAAAGCTTACCGTCACAGTATTTCTCAGTCATGTGTCATACAGACTGTCTCAGTGCAGTTATATCATTGATACATCATACCTACTAAGTTTCTCAACATAATTTTTTACAATACCAAGTATCAATTAAGAGATTAAAAGCAAAATCTTACCCTTTCTCCACACTTTTTAAGACTGTGACTCCATTACATCCATATGCATGATCATGTTTGAGAACACACTTAAAAGCTGAGAGTCCCAACAATCGGTAATTAATAATAAACTTATTAATTAAAATAACAAATTAACTTTTTTGATGTAATTAAAATGAATACTTTTCTAAGCTCACATCTTCTATAATTCTGCTTTTCTTGTTTGCTCTTAATTGTTCATATACTATTTTAACTCTTCACTAACTTCTATTATCTGGCTTTAGTCTTCTCTCTACTGCTTTTCCTTTAATTTGTTTGTACACAGATCCTGGCAGAATTACTGTAGTTAGTGTCATGAATGATTAAGTTTTAAGATAAAATTTAAGGACAAGGAATTAGCTCAGTAGTGCCACCGCCTGCCTCACAAGGGCATGATCTGGAGGAGTTCAGTCCCTGGTACAAAAAAACAACAACAAAAAATTAAATTAAAGCTGACTTGGTGTAGTACATGAAGATTTTTGGACAAAATTATTTCCCTCTTCTCAATCTACGGCAGCTTAGCTTCTCTCTCCATTTTTGTATAATTATTTATAAAAATTATTTTCCTTTTTCTCTGTGGCTGAATATGAGCATTTTTTACTATCAAATTCTTGTTTAATTGGCAAGTTTAGGTATGCTTACATTATTTGTATGCTCTATGCATTTCTGTCTTCATATTTACTTTAATAAGGTCTGCAATATTCAAGATAATTCTGTGGACAGTATTCACTGATCATGAATTTATAAACATTGCAGAAAATATTTTTCTTCCCATAATAAAACAGGCTTTTGGTGGATTTTGTTTTGTTTTTAAGCCAAATGTGACAAATTAAAATAGAGACCCTTCTATGAATGCACTGGTACTGAATGCTGAGCACCCTATCAGGCATAGTTAACTGGTAAAAATTTCTGTTAAGGAGAAGAAAAAAAATGAGATTTTTATCTCATAAATTTCAGGGTGAATTTTAAAATACTTTTTTGGCCAAGACTTACTTACTTTTGGGGGGCGGAGTGGTTTTCATTACTTTCATATATGCCTAAAATGAGACAAATAGGTTAGGCTCGTACATAGACATTGGTCGTTAAAAAAGAGCACACATTTTTAACATATTATTCGATGGATTTCATTTTTCTACCACCTATTTTCTGTTTCTA